GCACACACCTACGCGCTTCCTCTTCCAACGCCCAATCACACCTTTTGCTTAGCTTCACCGAGCTCTAAGCTCATTCCGTCTCGTCTCATCCAACCTGTTGGGCGCTACGTAACCTGCCGAGCTCCCGCCACAGGTATCTTGATGCCACCCAGCTTCTCTTTGTTGGTACCTTGAAGCTAGGTCTCAACATCCGGGAGGGGGGAGCATCTGAGGCAACACCAAGAAAAGGAGGGCTCTGGGTTCCTTGAGATTGATAATAGACACCACGGACGGCGAGGGTAACGAGTGACGAAAAAGTTTAGGTGGTTTGGGAATCGGGACTAAAAAAAGGCTTCAGCCGGGCTCCCCTCCACTTGCTTGAACCCAACCTACAGGGCCCCGCGACGAGCACCTGACAGCATTGACTTTTGGCCAAGGTCCCTTCACACTACCAAACCAAGTACCTTCTGTCCTTCCACCTCACCTCATTCACTGCTGCTGCGAGAGCTGCCCTGCACTTCACCGCAGCACCATAGTGGACAGCGCCTGTAACTACCCCGCCGAACGCGCGTTACGTACAGCGACCCTACGGCCTAAGGTACCGCCGCCTGCGCCCCCACTGCGATCTGGGCCCGCTCCCTGCCCTGCGAGCACAACCTAACCATTGGGATCTGCCGCGCGCACTACACACTATTGAGACCCGGCTCGTGCCCAGCCCAAGGTACCCTCCCCTGCCAGCCCCCAAGTACCCAGTCAACCCCCCAGTACCGCTGTACCGTCCGTAAATTGATTATTACGTCGCGGGTCCCCAGCTGTTGCTCTGACGCCAGTCAGCTTGCCCACCTTCTCTCGACGCTTTCTTCCTTCCGCAAATCCGCAACCACCTTTCTCTCCCCTCTCCCACGATCTTGGCACCGAAGAAAAACGAGGGCATTCTAACAGACCTTTGCCAGCCCCCGAGACCGGTTCAAACAACACGAAACAACACAGAAACGACGCTGATGGCTTCGACATCCCAAGAACAACCGCAGAATGGCGCTGCTGTAGACCCGGCCCAGGCCCCGGTCACCAGGGAGCTTCCCCTTCGTTCAAAGAGCAACATGTCTATTCCCCCGCCGGGCCAGTCTCTGACGGGAAAGCAAGAGCATTGTAAGCCGCCCGTCATTTTCGACATGATCCAAGAAAGAGGAAAAGATGCTAACTTCCCACCCCGCCAGACCTCAAGCGCGAGCTCGTTTCTGAGCAAGTCAAGTACGAAATCTCAGAGCTCAACTCCCCCACGGCCCTCAAGCGATTTGGCGCCCCCTTCAAATCCGATGTTGGAGAGGTATCTCCCCTCGACTCGGAGCTCCCCATCCTCCGCTACATCTTTGTACACCATGTTCGCGATTTCCCTTTCCTCGACAAGGCCAGAGAGAAGGAGTTTTGGCAAGACAAGCTCCAAGTAGTAAGTGCAAAGGCTTAGGCTTCCCCCGCGCCCATTACAAAACGCCCTCACTTCCTCCGGACTAGCTCCGCTGACTCGCTCCACCACCCCCCCCGACTACAGTTCCTAGAATCTTTTGCGACGAAGAATATTTCATCCTCGGAAGACAGACTCGAAGAGACCAAGCGGCGCAAGTTGGCTATAAAATGTCAGAAGCTTGTTGAGCTGATGATGGTGTCCGGTTGCAAAACTTCTTCCGGCTTTGAGGAGAGGATACGCTTTTCCGAGATCGAGGTTGTCGACAGCAATGCCATCGACACGGGTGTCATGCATGCCTTGCCGGAAGGCAACTACATCAATGGTTGGGATGTGAACATTGCTGCCGTTAGAATCACGTCGGAGAGGAAGACTATTAGATCTCACAAGCATGCTGTAAGCTGACTCTGCCGAGTTTTCGTTTCTGGGCGAGCACAGCAGACACTAACGTCGAATTTAGGAGTTCATCATGCGCATTCACCGAAAGGGCGAGCTCGAGTTCTTCATCGGTAGGAGATATAGCGATTTCGCCAGGTTACATAAGAGACTACGCCTCGAATTGCCGGGCAAGGTTCTACCCACGCTGCCGAAGAAGAACAAGTCGGATACGACGACTACGGGTCTGTTCTCTTCCCTGACCGGAGGTGGAAGCCCGGATTCTTCTGCCTCCTCAGTGTCATCTGTTTCGACCATGATGACTGGTCTTCCTCCCCACGAGAAGGACACCCACTCCAAGTTGTCAGTGCTAGGTGAGTATCTCTCATCCTCGCGCGGTGCCGCGAATGCTAATTAGTGTAGGACACAAACGTGCCAGCTCTACTGCCTCAGGTCGCAACTCGCCTCGAGTGTCGACGGATAGCAGGCCCAAGAGCGACCTGCCATTCCTTGGAGGAAAGAAGAACGAACAAGTGACGCTGTGGCGTGAGAGCCAGCGTGTATCTCTCAGAGCTTTCATTCGCACACTGCTCTCGAACCCCCAGATTGCGCAAACAAAGGCTATGGAGGAATTCCTCACCAGGGACCAGATCACGCCGACGGATGCCGATATCGACGATATTGAACGGAGAAAGGCAGTCGACGCGATGCGTGTGGAGGAGCAAAAGAAGTTTTACGAGGTGGCAAGGAAACGCGCTGCCGAGCTCGACATCTATATGGAGGAGTGCGTAACGCTGCAATCTGTATTCCCCACTACCAAGTACTAACAGCGTTCAGGTTCCGTCAAGAGATTGTCGAGCGCAACGGCCTTACGTCACTGTTCAAGGAAATCAAGGAGAAGGAGACCATCCAGGACTTGAGCATTCAGTACCGGAAGTTCGCCGAGTGGCTCCGGATAGAGGTCGCAGCTACGATTTACCACCTATTCCTTGCAGAAGACAATTCTCCCGAGCTTTTCGCCCAAGCTAAGAGGATCCACTCGCTCATTCCTTATACCGTCATCAAGAACGTTATCAGAATTGCGAACCCGGCTGCTGTCATGTCCGGTGTTTTGGACGTGTTCCTGGCGCAACCTTTCGGCACCCGATCCCTCCTTCAGCGCATCTTCTCATTGACCCTCAATGATGGCATCAAGAGCTTCCAAAAGTCTATCGACACGCTCGGCGCTAAGATCGGCGATGCAGCCTTTACTGGGAAGCTGAAGATGTACACGGAGGCCGAGGAGCACATCAAACTCGCAATTAGGGAAGAAGCGGCTGCTGAAGATATCGACTTGATTGTCGTGATTCTCCGCTCGGACTACCTTGAGCCTGGTCTCACCTCGGAACAGATTGGCCGACTCTACAACGCCTACGTCGCTTTCAATAATGCTGTTGAGAACATTGACGAGGAGTTGAAGCAGGGTGCTCAGCTGTTCTCGTATCTCAAGCAGTACCTGAAGCTTTGCACAAGACAGCACGACAAGGCCATGATGTTGCAATTGGTGGAACAGCCGGTCACCCTTCAACTGTTCAGAGATCTCTTCAGCATTTTCTACGAACCCCTTGTTCGGGTCTACAAGTCGGCAAACGTTTACAGCAGTGTCACGGACTTTGCTGTGTTCATTGACGACATGATCCAGGTAGGCAGTCTCGTGAGATGTTACGGTAACAGCACTAACATGCAACACAGGTCGTTGAAAAATGTCAGGAGCAGGACGCATCGGCAGACCCGAACCAGACCGTTCAGGCCTTTATTGATCTCTGCCAGAGACACGAGCACAACTTTTACAAGTTTGTGCACGAGGTCCACACACACGACAACGGCTTGTTTGACCAGCTGATGGGCTGGATTGAGGACATTCTGGAGTTCTTGAGGAAGGGACCCAAGAACGGCACCTTGAATGTCAATGCGCTCTTCGAGGGAGGTGTTAGCTCCGGTGCCATCGATAAGGGCAAGGTCATTGATGAGGTCAACCAACTCATCGCATGGCAAGAAGCCAGGAAGAAGTGGCATCACGACAAGACAAGACAAAAGATGGCGGCTGAAGGAAACGGAGGTCCCGACTTGGTTCCCACTGGTTTCTCTTCCTCCGACTTTGGCCTCGACCAGATGGACTTGGAGGACATGGCGTATGACGACGAGGACGGGGAGGAGGAAGACGAGGCGGAGGAGGAGGACGAGCTCGACCCTATCGAGGCCGAGCGCCGTCGCCGGGCCAAGAGACGCGATAGGCTCCGTCGGAGCGCCGGCGAGCCGGCCAAGCCGCCCGTGTCTGAGGTTCACAAGCTCAAGGATAACTTCCTTGTCATGTTGCGCGAGGTTCTTGCCCAGTAAGTTTTTAGAGAAAGCATGATATCCCCTGGCTCGTAACTTGGGTTCACATATATGGGTGGTTGGTGGGTTGGGAAAGGTTTCATGGGTTTGGCACATTTAGGGGTATCAAGCCCCTTGAACTCTGGCGTTTAGTGGTTTTTCGTTTCTACACTACCTGAATTACTTTGAATCAGTTGACAAGATTTATATATTTTATTGGGCTTTGTGACATTATTTTTATTTTTATTTTTCTGAGGTTTGCTAGAACTCTTCGGTTCTTTCTATGCCATTCGTTCCATACTTGGGAGAGGCGCAACTAAAGTCGATGACACTTCAGCATATGCGGGAGCAATAACGTCAATACATAACTTTATTTAGCCAGCATTCTGGTACTCGAACAATGAGGATTATCGTGTGTTCTATACCAACCGTGTCCCAGATAGTAGGCCGATTCAGGTAACGGGTAACGGTGCGAATTTCGATGGAGGGCCACCCTCGTCACATAAAGGGGGTTTCAAAAGGAGGTAAGGTGCAGTGAGAAAGAAAAATGATCTTCTTGTAGTTGCTATCTACTGACTACTAGTTAATCTTAACAGATTGACGTGCGAGCGGGGGGTATCCTCAATTCCAAACTCCATCATAAACCATCTTCATCCAACCTGACCTGTAAAGTATGGATCAATAGTCCACCTCGTGGGATAAGGTAGCTCTCCATACCCGAGTCTCCATCCGGAGTCTCTCTGTCTTCCCTGCTCAACCACCTTATTCCCAGAAATAACGAAACATTAAACACGGTCCAAAGCCAAAGCCAAAGCCAAAAAAAAAAAAAAAAAAAAAAGAACGTTGTCCGAGAGAAGCGGAGAGACACCCTCAATGCTTCGAGTACAAGTCCATCATACCAGCCTTGAAATCCGCAATCTGCTCCCTCTGCGTCCTCGCCCGAGCCTCCAGACTCGCAACCCTCTCCTGCAGCTCCGCAATTTTCTCGTCCTTGGCCTTGAGCGCCGTCCGCACCGTGTCCCGGCCCCGCGCCAGCCCTTTGGCCTTCATCGCGAACCGGCCCAGCACGGCTCTGACGTCGCGGGCTGTGGCGCCGTCTACCCCCTTTTGACCCTGGAGTAGGGCCATGACTTCCTCTGTTGGATCGAGCTGCTCTTCTTGCGGGGTCGAGGTTGGCGGCGAGGAGGAAGGGGGGATAGTTCCTGTTCCCGCTGCTGTTGAGCGTCCAAGTGTCGCTGACGACGTGCTCGTCGAAAAGGATACGTTGCCCGGAGAGATCTCCCCGACGACGTCCTCGCCGACCTTGCGGCGCTTCGCGTCGGGGAAGAGTGTTCGGCTGACCGTCTGCGGCGTAGGCAGCGCACCGTCGTGTACCGTACGCTGCGCAGCAGGCGTGGAAGGCGCGCCACCGCCGCCACCACCACCACCGCCATCCTCGGCGCGAAGCTTCTTAGCGCTGCGTTCCATGGCCTCGGTCATGGCCCTCTCCTCGTCCGAGGAGACGTCGTCATCGAGACCGTAGTCGTCGGTCCTGGCACCTCCTTGCCCCTGCCCCTGTGCTTCTTCTCCGTCATCATCAGAGTCAAAGTCGAAGAGGACTCTCTTCCTCTTTCTCTGCGCCGGGGTTGTCAACTCGGCTTCTTCGTCCGTGACCATGAGATCGTTCGGCTCTTCGTACTCGGGTACCTGGACGGGTCGGTTCTTGAAGTAGGTATCCATGAACTTTTGCTTCGCGGCGCTTCTCTGCGCCGTGGGCGACGGAGGCGGTTCCATCATCGCTGACGAAGAAGCAGCTCTCGTCGCAGAGGGTTTGATGGTGGAAGCCGTACCCGGCGTGAAACCACCCTGAGCCGGACCAGTCGTTCGTCGAGGCGTCGCAGAATTACCAGCGACGGCACCATCCTGCGGCATGGGTGGCAACGTCATGGTCGCCCCCTCGGCCCTGTTCTCCGCGTCCTCAGCCCACAGGAAGAAGTTGCAGCCGCCGCGCCTCTTCTCGCACGTGTAGAACCACCGGCCCCTGTTGGCCGTGTTCTTGCTGACTTGTAGGAATTTGGCCGTGTTTCGCGGCTGGCAGTTGCAGTACCAGTTCCCTTCGAGGAAGAGCCCGTCGAGGCGCTTCTTTTGCGAGGGAGGGGGCGAGGGGGAGTATGTCCTGCCACCGCTGCGATTGGGTGTATAGGGGGTCGTCGTCGTTCTGCTGCTGCGACTGCTACCGCCGCCGCCGCTATTGTACATTAGCCGTCGGCCGCCGCCGCCGCGCGGGGTCCGGTAGCCCATTTTCCTCGTAGTTGTGAAGTAGCTGCTGATATCGCGGGTTCCGGTATCGATGGTGTTCCTGATGGGAGTAGTAGCGGTAGCGATGGCCGTAGAGGTAGCCCGTTTCCTGCGTTTTGGTTGAGGTTTGCTTTCGGCGGCGTGGCCGACTTTAAGGTGTGGATGCGTCCACGGGAGGCGGCGGACCATGTGCGTTGTCCGGAGGCGGGAGAAAGAACGTTGGTCCGTGGTTGTCGGGGAAGCTTTAGTTTCAGGGGCGGTAGGTGCGGGAGGGTGATGTCATACTTTGGACATCGAACCCTTTTTTTTTTTGGTTTACGTTGTCTCTGATCAAAAACTTTGCATGTCGAATTCCGGTTTGATTTGGTTGTGTATGGTTATCCACCTCATAAAGGCTGAAGCTTTCGTGGTCTCAAGCTGTAGGTAATCGATACTTCGTATATCTCGAGGGGGGTTGAGGGTTGGTTTGGGAAACTGCCCCGCGGCTGAAGCTCCAATATTGAGGGGGGCTGGGAAGCCAACAGAGCAGGGGTGGATATTGGGGGCCATTATCTGGGGTCGGGGGTGGTGGATAGAACAGAAGCTTCCCAGCCCTATGAATACTCCGAATACCCTTAACGTATTCGCACGCTAGATCTGGAAAAGTAAGACCGATGATATCTCTGGTAATTTTGGAATTCCGAGCAGATGAAGTGAAATTGATTCTGATTACATTGATTGTATGCCACTGTGAGCCAAACGCCCCACGAGACCGGCAAACGCTGTCAACCATCTTACAGCCGGCCAATCTCAACCTTGTTACTGCAAAACACTCGCAACACTTTCTATACAGACTAGGGATGAAGAGATCCTACGCGCCTATATATGTACTGGCTGCTGGCGGTAGGCTCATAGACGAGGAGTTCTTCAGGAACCGTCCCGCGCGGCTGGGGTCAGAGGACCCCAGTCTCTAGATACTGATCTTGCCGCCGCGCCCCACTCTTGCACATTAGCCTGGAGATGCCGCGCGGGACCCCTTCCGGCACTCTCTAAATGTCCGCTGTCCATATTCGTCCGCACCGCAGGCTCTTTTCCCATAGGCAACGAAGCGCGTCCATAGCTAGTCGATCCGCTCATCTGGTAAAGAGATATGTCATTCAAAGAGCATAATGTAAGCATTCGTAAGCGTTAGGTGAGGTGGATAGTGTTCACGAGCTAAGTGCTATGGTTTGTCGAATTACACTGGCTTAGAAGAGCACTTACACGCCGTGATGCATTATCGTGAGAAGCTCGCATACAAGTATCTTTCGCTTTTCCGAAGAAGAACTGAATTGAAGAACTCCATGAACAATTTATTCTATCAATTGGCACTAGAGCCGTGTGTTTGAAAATCTTTCCCCTTTTCTTAGGAGCACTTCAACACCTACAACACCGAAGCCAGGATCGAAATCCAACAACCATCCACTCGTACATCATGTCAACCCTCCGAACAATCCACAAAATCTTCACCGCCCCCGAGCAATCCGAAGGCGCAGGCGCCCGCGTCCGCCGCTCCATCGGCAGCAACCACCTCCGCGCCCTCTCTCCCTTCCTCATGCTCGACCACCTGGACGGCGCCACCGGCGAAGGCTTTCCCGACCACCCCCACCGGGGCCAGGAGACCGTCTCCTACATCCTCAAAGGATCCGTCGAGCACGAGGACTTTGCGGGCCACCGCGGCGTCCTGCACGCCGGCGACTTGCAGTTCATGACGGCCGGCAGGGGCATCATGCACTCGGAGCAGCCGATCCCGTCCGAGGACGGTGGTAGCGGGGCGGGATTGCAGTTGTGGGTTGATCTGCCGCGGCGATTGAAGATGTGCGAGCCGCGGTATCGCGATCTCAAGGGTACGGAGATCCCTGTTGCGAAACTAGACGACGGCAGGGTTACTGTGAAAGTCATCTCGGGCGTATCTGGAGGCGTTGATAGTGTTAGGGACCTGACGTATACGCCGATATGGTACCTCGACATTCAAATCCAACCGGGCGGCGAGATAACCCAGCAAGCCCCCCAGGGCTGGAACGCGATGGCGTACGTTGTCGAAGGATCTGCGCAAGTGAGCTCCTCCACCGAGGACGACCGGAAGGAGGCACAGCAATTCCAGGCTGTTGTTTTTGGGGTGGAGGGAGATGTGGTGCAGATGAGAGTCCCGGACACGGCAACCGCTGGGGCGCGGATTCTTTTGATTGCGGGAGAGCCCCTGGATCAGCCTGTCGTGCAGCATGGTCCGTTTGTGGTGACTAGCAGCCAGGAGGCCCGTCAGGCGCTCGAGGACTTTTACTTCCACAAGAATGGGTTCGAGAGGGCGGCGGGATGGGAAAGCCGGTCTTCGAAAAGGCTGGCGCGGTCGTAGATGAATAGAGAATCATGTGTCGCAAGCATTGAAATAAATACAAAACTGGTTTGAACTTACCTGTTGAGCTCGCTCCCTGGCCACTCCTTTGTCCTGCGGAATTATGAAACAATGGCAAAAGAAGTTCATGAGATAACGAAAGTCGGCACTAGAGAAGATCGAGTGACTGGGCCGGATATTCCCTCGAAGAAACGGTATCAACAGCCCGTTGGCGGCGTTACGCTTTTACTGCCCTCTAGCACCTAGCGGACAAAGCCGTGATCGAGCCGCAATCCGTTATCCTTTCTTGTCTACGCGTTGTTCTGGCCACTGAAACTTCCATCTAAACCTATAATTGCGCGGAACCGTGGGCAAGAGAACCACCACTAGCACAACCATCTGACAATATCGTACCGACTTACAACATTGCTAAAAGGGGGCAGTACGTAATCTCCAAGCCAGGAGAAGCGTGTAAGTCCACTTGGTCTAAGAAGCTATATCAAAACCCAGCAGCCGAAGACATCACGCGCATAGAAAGACTTCGTATTCCCTTCGCCTGTCCCGACGAGAGTATGTTCATAAGTTGTGGTATTGGCGTCTAGAATATACTCGAGCAAGTCTTCAAGACCTAGCTCTCGAAAGGCATAAGCATACATGAAGAGAGAGAAAAGAAAAGAAGCCCTGCCAGCACAGCTAAACAGCCTGCACCAAAAACCTGTTCACCATACATAGTAGCATTCTCGCCACTGTAAGAAAAATGTCGCCTGCCAAATCCAAGCCTTTCCTTCCCATGATTACCTAACGACGCAACTGGACCGCTCGCTATGCTTCATTGTAGGCACCCAAGCCAGAAGAAAAAACAGCTGATCAAGAGTTTCCCCCCCTGTCTTGGCTCCATTCGTTACATCTCTGGCCGGTATAGAGCAAGAGGAAAACGCGGGTATATGTAAGCCACCAAAGAAAAAACCAGCATCACAAAGGGAAAAATCAACGATTTCGGACCGCTCTCCATTCCATGGACTGAGCCCTCACCACCCCGGTCATACAAAGTCTCTCACACGTCGTAGAAGTAGTCCTCGTCGAGACCGTCCCTGCTAGGTATCACTCCGGCGCCTGGTGGTGGCCCGGTGTACGCAGCCTCGATTCTCACGTTGAGCAGCCTAATCTTGAGCCCAAAGTCGCTCACGAGATTCACGAGCTTATTCGTCTCGGCCGTGATGGGGGCCTGGTTGAGCAGCATCAGCAGACCGTCAAGCCACTCCGACGCCAGGCTGTGCGTGACCGGGTTGAGAGTCAGGATGGCCTGCTCCTTGGCATCGCCGCCGCCGGCAGCTTCCGCAGGATTGGCGTAGCTGAAGATTGTGATTTTGGTTGTCGATTTGACCGTCACGTTGTTCTTGAGCGTCGAACTGCTAGTTGCGCTGCGGCTTTCCTCATTGGAGGCTGACACATTGGACACGACTGAGCTGATGGTGCTGAGATCGACCTTTTCCGTCAAAATGTCAAGGCCCGGATCCTGTGCTGTTTGTGCCTCGAAGTCGGCGTAGTGTAAGTACCGGCGATTGTGCGAGAGCTTAGCGAACCGCCAAGGGCGCGGCGTATACAAACGACGCTTGAGGTTCTCGTCTCTAGGGTTGGTGTCTCGCCGTGGTAGCGGCTTGGAGAACCAAGATCCCTGGAGCAGACATCGGATCCGCTGCTCCTTCACAAACTGAAGTGCCTCTTGCCTCAACTCCTCTCGGACTTGATACAAATGCTGACCCCACTGATCCTCGAACGACAGTTCCAAAAGCTCCATCTGAAGCTCTCGTAGTCTAGTGCAGTCGTACTCAAGCAGCTCCTCCTCGACCTCCAACACGTCCTTGGTCCGGCTTGCCTGGCCGACAACTTGCTCGATGAGAATTCGGACCAGTTCTGCCACCTTTTCGAAGTCCAGGTGCTCCGCAGCGGTGGACTTCCATACGCGGAAGAAAGCTTGCAGGCCGGCTGTGTGGAGTCGCGACCACTGGAGGAGGAGCGGACGGAATAGCTTTTCGTTGTTTTTGATACCGTCCAAGCCTTGGTAACCCTTAATGTCCTCAACGTCCGACTTCTCCACCTCGAAATGATCGTATAGGATCATCGTGACCGCGAGACTTGCCCTAGCGACCGGGCACCTTTCGTTCCTTGGTTTTGTGGATTGTTCCAGAAGCATCTTCTGGAAGCTGTCCTCGTTCTTGCGCACGTAGTCTGTCAGGTCCATCATGCCCAGGAAGCCGGGGACCTCAAACTCCTGTGTAGGACTCTCGGTTTCGAAGCCCAGTCTCCTCCATTTCTCAGGGTTGTGGCGCCGACTTCCCTTCTTCCCAAGCTCGTTAATCTCGTCCAACCGGTGAATGCCATTGACTTGCTTCTCCGGGTTGCTGGCAAGGTGAAGTCCCTTCAGTCCCCGTCTGTGCTCGGGCCGCTCGAGATCAACCCTCACCTCCCGCCACTTTCTCAGGAGGACCTTAGTCAAGGACTGGAACTCAAGCAGAGGATGCGCGAGATCCTGTAGGGACGAGCTCTGCATCAGGTTGTACACTGCCTTGATGAGACCGAGATCTTGCAAGCGCTTGATGAATTTTGACCACTCTTCCATCGCAGGGTTGTTCGCCTTCGTGATGTTGGTGTCGCCAGATACAGCGTCGCGGATCATGGCATTAATGAGCATGAGGGCATTGGCGCACAGCGCGTGGTCGGCGGACTGGAGCTGGGCGATAACGAGCTCAAAGAACTGCGGGTAGACTGCGACGGCGGGCTTCAGGGCTCTGAAACCAAAGGATCCCGGGGTACGAGGGGTCGTCGGGCGAGAAGACTGTGTGTGGCCGACGAGGGCGACCAAGATCGACATGGCACCGCGCAAAATGTTGACAAGAGGGTTCGTAACGATCAATTCGACAATGCGCTCCACGAGATCCCCTGACGATGATCCCTCAAATATCTCCCAGCCCATGTCTACCTCCAAAAGGCGCGTCAAACTCTGCAACGAGTACGCCAGCGTGTTTCCTCCCGCACTCATAATTAGGCGTCGAAGAATGACCAAGCCTCCCGAGGATATGAAAACGTCGGCGAAGGCAGGGTCGTTTATAGAGGACTGCAGCTTGAAGACGGCCATCTTCCTGGCGGCGTCCTCGTCGCTCGCGAGGCGCGACAAAAGCGCGGGGATATCGGCTTGATCCATGGTAGCGGCGTCGAGAAGGTATGTACAGGTTCGGGACGGGAAGGAGGAGCGTCGGTGCTGTGACCGATTGTCGATCAGAAGGTCGTCAGCAGGTGGAAGACAGAGTCGCGTCCGTCGTAGTCATGGCCCACGGCTGTGAGAGAGAAACCGCTCGGGTCGGGGTATATAAGGCAAAGGGTGTCGGACGGAAGATCTTGAGGATTGGCGGAAGAGGGTCCGTGTCAAGCAAGATGGATCACGGGCAGAAGCTTTGTAGATCCCTCGCAAATGTGGACGGAGGGAATGGCGTCGATCGCGGGTATAAAAAAAGAATTTTAGGATGCTCCGTCGACAAGGGGGAAATAGTGTACACAGAAGGGTCAAGGAAGGACTGTGATGGTGGTGTAATTATTCGTACACTAAAAAAAAGGGAGAGAAGGAGACGGGACGGGAGAGAGAGAGAAGAGTGTGCGTCGAGGGCTGTCGAAGCAACAGACCAGTTGTGTTGACTTTGGTCTGCATTAGATGCGCACGGGCGGGAAGTTTGCGCATGTCCTGCAGGAGGTGGGAAAGCACAGATGCAGCGACAACGGGGAGGATCCCAGCAAGCCTCCAACTGATTTTGGGCCGTTTGGGGGTTCACCTTCACCACAGCCAGCCGGTGTTGCACCAATGGCGCTGCACGGCTTGGTCTTCTTTGCTCCACCTATCTTCTCGGGGATGTTTTAGTGGATTTGGAGGGGGTTTTGCTTGGCTTCGAGTCCGAGAGTGACTGGAACGGCGGGACTGCGGCGATTGGTCGGCAAGTGAGATAGCGCGTCCAACGACTGGTTTCACCATGGCTTCCCACCGGAGACCGTGGATATTTTCATTATCTCTCGGAAGAAACCTTATTGAAATTGTTCAGCGACGCGCGGGTTTGTTGATTTTCAATCTGAATGTGGTCTCGTGACCTGAGGTCTGACTGCGCACCTCGGAGTTTTGACTTCTGTCGACAAGTCATCATCATCGGATGAGTGAACCTTCAGTTACGGTGGGCAGAACATCATTCAGTCGAGCAGACGCACAAACGAATCTGGAAGCCGGTCCATAGCATTAGACCAAAATTTTGATCCCTCTGTTGGCGTCATTCAACTGATAGTCCGGTATCATTGGGTTGAGGAGAACCCAGTGTTTCAGATGAGTAGCTCAAGAAGCAACTTATCGAAGCCATCAGCATTGCAATGGGGTTGAGCAAGGCGATTTGATTAGTATCAAGCCTCTATGCCATTTTTATATGAGAGAAACATTAAATTGTACCAGAATCGAGGATTATTGTCTGGACCTGGAATGAGAAAAAGCCGTTGTAAGGCTGACCTGAGAATGTTTGGATTCTACAACAACGAGAAACAACACAATTCGCCCAAAACGTTCTAGACCATCGGCTCGCAACGCCGGTACGTACTCTGTTTATTCCCGTCCCTGAAATCAATCAGTGGGGTTCCAGATGGAAGCAAGAACCACCTGGAACCCACCACTGCTCGAGCCACACTATTCCAGCCACAGACACAGCTTCAGCCCCAGGATTACTAATCGTCGTGGCGCGCGAGGCTGCTAGAAATTCCAATCTCTAGTCCGTCGCATTTGTCGCGACGCAAGCAAGCCCGTTTCCGCAGCTCCATCAAAAAACGCGGCCGCCACAGAGACTATCGGACTCTTCCCTCCCAACGAACAATCAAGCATATCGAGCTATCGTAAATCAACACACAAAGGGCCATATCTCAAAACGTCGCAATCTCGAAACCACACGACATACCCAAATATCCCGAAACCTCTCGAAACACCGACGACAACATGGCTAACTTCCTCGCCTCCATCTTCGGCACGGAGCTCGACAAGGTCAACTGCTCCTTCTACTTCAAAATCGGCGCCTGCCGCCACGGCGACCGCTGCTCGAGAAAGCACGTCAAGCCCAGCTACTCGCAGACCATCCTCATGCCCAACCTCTACCAGAACCCGGCCTACGACCCAAAGAACCGCATGAACCCGTCCCAGCTGCAGAACCACTTTGACGCCTTTTACGAGGACATTTGGTGCGAGCTCTGCAAGTACGGCGAGCTCGAGGAGCTCGTTGTGTGCGACAACAACAATGATCGTGCGTCTCTCTTCCCTTCCCTCTTACCCATGCTCTCCTGATCTTGGGAAGAATCGTATACTAACAGAGAATGCGTAACAACAAGACCTCATAGGAAACGTCTACGCCCGCTTCAAATACGAAGACTCTGCCCAAAAGGCCTGCGACGACCTCAACTCGCGGTGGTACGCCGCCCGCCCCATATACTGCGAGCTCTCCCCCGTCACGGACTTCCGCGAGGCCTGTTGTCGCCTCAACTCGGGCGAGGGCTGCGTCCGCGGCGGCTTCTGCAACTTTATCCACCGCAAGAACCCGTCCGAGGACCTCGACCGCGATCTCACCCTCAGCACCAAGAAGTGGCTCAAGGACCGCGGCCGCGACGAGAGGAGCCCGTCCCGCTCGCCTACCCCCGAGCCCACGCGCCGTCGGTACTAAAGGGAGAAAAGAGAGGGATTTTTGGGTCAAGGGAAAACAACGATTGGGAGCTGTTCGTTTGAAGCGTATCATCGTCGCATGAGAGGGAGAAGAGCGAGACGGTTCCAAGCGACAAACGATGCGGAAAGCCATAAAACTCTGGCATTGAAGCTCGGCTCAGCAAAGCAAGGCTGTTTCCGGAAGCCGGGGCTAGGCATTGCCGTCGTTTCTCATCTCACGACGGGTCTAATCAGCAAAGCAGGAGGAGGAAGAGAGAGAGTGTGGAAGGCGACACCCCCAGAAATTGAGAATTTGATACCCATCCCCCGTACCTGTGTCAACAGGGTGGATTGGAAGACCAAACAAAAAGGAGGGTGAGAGCGGCGTTTATGGCGTTTCTGGGATGGGTTAGGGTACTATGGGAGAAACTCTTGAAAGGGCAAAGCACCATGTAACAAAACATGTGAGATTAGGTAGTGCCTCCAAATCGAAGAGCGACTACGACTCCTGCATCATCATCATCATCAGCATCATTAACCCTTGGCTCGAATGTTGGGAGTGAATCATGTCCAAAAAACTTCTCCGCAGTTGAATGCCGTTATTACTGAGCGGTAAGCAATGCTATACATATCTACAGAGGTATCCCTTTTCTACCAAACCCCTTCCCCGGATGTTCGCCAATGCAAAAGATTTATAGTTTGTACCTCCTGACTGGGCCCCCTTTCCTCCATCTCCCCTAGCCAGGAGTCCGCCTCCCATGGTGAATGAAAGTCATGTTTGGCAAAAAAGGGTTTGCCGGATGGAGCGGGAGGGGAAAACAAAAACCAGAGGGACGGACGTGCGTCCTAGATGAGCTTGGCTCTGATCTACTCCAAAGCGTCATGGAAGCTGTCGTTACTCTCGTCGGCTCTCTTCAGCGGCGGCACGCTCTTCTTCATATCTGTGAAGTCCATCAATGGACCCTCTTTTGCTTGAGTGCCGGTGCTGTTGAGCATCCCTTCAATGTCCTTGGATCCACTCCGCGCTTCCTGAGCTGCCGTAGGAGTACCGCTTGGTGGCTGAACCGCAGGCGCAGTTGCTGTTAGAGCTGTCGGAGCTGTCGGAGCTGTCGGAGCTGTCGGGGTGGTAGCTGGCGCATCGCCAAAGTCGATCAAGTCGTTTCCTGCGGCATGTTGCTGAACGACTGGAGCCGGGGCCGGGGCCGGGGCCTCTGTTGTCGCAGAGGGCCTATGGGGAGGAATGGCGTTTGTCGTAGAAGGCTTCTGGCCCGGAAGAATGGGGTATATGGCCAAGATTTGTTCAGTCTGCTTCTCTGGGCTCGTGTTGTCACTGCTTTGTGTCAGCGTGTCTTGGTCCAATGTGAGAGTCGGATGTACTCACACGTGAGCGTTGATGATCCACTCCAGCTCTTCCTCGCCCTCTTCGGGACCACCTGGGCCGCCGTGGACGGCCCTGAAAAGCCTAGGCTTCCACTCAACGCCTTCGCGAGCCCTCGTCTCACGTTCCTCACGTTGTCTGTCTTCGACCTTGGTCTTCTCGTCTGTCGCAAGCTCATGGTTGCGATCCTTCACGGCCTGGGCTGTCGGTGCCCAAAGCTTCTGGGATTCGCGCTCATCCTGCTCCTCGATAGGCCGCACGAGGGGGCTGCTGGGCTTTGATCGTCTGGCGTTGAAGAACATCTCCTTATGACCAGTCTGAGGCTGTTAGTAACGCGTCACAACTGCAGCATCACCCTGAGCTGACCTTGACATCCTTGACAAACATCTCGTCGTTCCAAAAGCCCGACAGCTCGTAGAGGACTTCGCCTGTGCTCTCATGCTTGATTGAACCACCAATCGCGTTATAGGTACCGCTGACCCAGCCCTTCACCTTGAACTCAATGTCGGCGACCAAGTCGAGCTCTGGGCACCGAACAAAGCTGTGGTCTCCAAGCTCATACTTCATCTTTCCGAAGAGAATGCCTCGAGCGTACATGTTTGGCTGCGTCAAAATGCTAGTCTCACGGTTAGCGTATTCATGTCACAAGCGGATTCCGAGCCAACATACTATCGTTCGCCCTTTGTCTTGTCCTTGCCCCTATTAAGGAAAGACAAGACCGCTGTGCCCTCCATCAAGCTCGCTGCCGAGTTTCCGAGGAACTTGCTCCTGGGCTTGAGTGTGCCATCAACGCGGATGTTGTGTTCGGGGACCATGTAGAAGTAGCTAGATTTGGGAGGGTGATGCGACGTTTGCTCGGAGATGTAGTACGCCCTCGTGTTATCAGGCAGATCCCAGTAGCAGGAAAAAACCTCGCCGAGGATCGGGTTCAGGGGCTTCTTCACTCCTCTGGGCGCTTGTCAGCAATGTCTACGGCTTACACGGGTAGCTCGGAATGACTGACGGTGGTTTGATATGCCATCCACTCAGGTAGAACTTGACAACGGAAACGAATCGCAGTACGGGGTCGTCGATCTCAGGTATAGGGAGGAGCATTTCGGGGTGGCACATGAAGCTACGACAAACGCACAGAGTCAGCGAAAGAGGTCCCGAGTCCGCATCTTTTCCGGAGGCTACTGACTTTGTAATTCTCTCGAGCATGCTACGGGGCTCGAGAATAAAGGTCGGCAAAACAACGCGACTCAGATCAGCTCCAGGACGAAGCTGGGAAATGATGTGGCCAAGCACTAGACTCCATGTTAGCCAAAGGCGCGTGAGGCACCCCGCGAGCAGACAAATGCGGGCGCAACGGTTCTTGCAAAGGCTTCACTCACCGTTGCCCTGGTCGGCCTCGACCACAGTGGTGTCGTCATCTTCGGCAGCGCCTCTGGCTTCGTCGATGCTCGAGCGATTGCTAGCTGGTGGGTTGGAAAGCCAAGAGGTCAGCATGGTTGGAGGCAACTTTTTTTTCTTCGATTTGCGCACGGCAGAGGTTTGGAGAGTGGAAGTGGAGGCTTTTCGGCTCCCGGAAGACGCCAAAGCCAAGGTACGCAACTAGGGAAACAAGCAGGGTATAGGCAAATGGGCAACAGGCCGTAAGGGTATGTAAAGGGAAAAGGGTGTAAGAGGAGGCGCGAGTTTGTCGCTGTATGAAGTCCACAACAGGCGCGACGAGGAGGAGACGATTGCTATTATCCAGACATTGGACCAGGCAGTGACGCTAGGGCTGGTAAGACTCACTGAGGCTGGACGCTCTGGAGCGTCTTCCTGGCACATGGACCAAACCCATGACTGCGACTGGCTCTTGGTGGGCGGTGGGTGCAGCGATGCCCCTCAGTTGTTCTTTAGACCGCTATCGGTCTTATCGGCGCGGTGCCCGGGATGTGCCTTCTTGCTGGAATGAGGGGCAGTGCTCCCCAAAAAGGCGTCTGCGGGTTGCTTGAAGCTGCAAGTAGGGGTAGAGTCGGCAAGTAAAGGATGGGGCTTCGCAGCCCGGTACGTAGTCGAGCGAGAGCGAGGGGATGGGATGGAAGAGTGGCAGTAGTTGAACAGTGGACTTTGTGGAAACTTGTCGTAATAAAAGTAGTTGTTGGTTGATAAAGCCGAAGATGGTTTGAGTTTCCCCGGGGCAAGGAGTTTGCTGGCGAAGGAAGCGTCGGGAGGATAAAGGTTGGGGGGACGTATCAGTCGGACGCAAAAGTGGGAAAGAAAGAAGTCGGGTTTATGATGTTGAGCTTAGAGAAGCGGAGAGTTGGAGAGAGAAAAAGAGGCCCGCTTGGCGAAGGGCACTGGCCGGAGAAAAGATGACCTATCGATGTCTCACTCGCTTGCTGTTTTCGATTGGGCGTTGCCGCCTCTGACAACCTGAGCTAGAACGTAAAGCAGAGCTGTAGAGAGCAAAACGGAAGATAAAGGGTGAGGTGAATGTCAGCTGAAGGTCGATGAAAGTCGATGAGGGTAGGTAGCTGTTCCAGGTTGCTGGTTCACCAAGGAACGGCCGGAATTTGAGATGAGACTGAGGTCAAAGATGATTTCCCATGTCAAAAGTCGTAAGGAAGGAGCACAAGACCGTGTACAATGTAGTTTGTGACACAGAATGACGATTGCCTGGTAGATTCCTTAGCAATTATCAATGGCGAGAGCAGATTGGTGTCAAGACGAGGCAGCTTTGGGCAATGTCGTAGACAGAAGCTACCTCGATGCCTACCCACCTTAGGTACCTTAGCAGCTTTTAGTTACCTGTGGTAAGGTAAGGTGGATGGTCAGCACCATTGTCACCAGTGGCCTGGGCTGGGCTCCCATGCACTCCTTACGTCGCTGATGTACCGACTAGACCCCACAACGGAGGACGGCGGACGAGGAGGGGTGATGACGTCGCTTCATTCATTGGGAAACTTTTTTTTGTCCATTTCCCCAATGCCATCATATCCCATTAGCTCCGTGCACCACTACCTTAGCTGCCTACCTACCTCGCCGTGCTCTCTCCAACCTAGCTGTCACCATCTTCGGAGTCCAGCGCGATGATACCCAAGAAGAAGCCTAAAGCAATGAGCCCGACAAATCCGACTAAGAGTCGCTCAAAACACGAAGGTGTTCATCTGCACTTCCGCAATGCTTTCCACCAAGTGTCAACGAACGGGGAGGAGCGAGCGAGACATCGAGATGCCAACCTAACCCGCGCATCCGCAATCCGCATCTGTTCGCACGGGAGTGTCTGTCACCCCAGCTTCTCCCCCTCCACTCCCTCCTTCCGTTCCATCCCATGTCTAATACCGCCAAATACTGTGCTACCCTGCACCCAATCACATGCCCGCCGGCTTCTCTTCATAGGCCAATCATCCAGTGAGCGACTCCCCCTTCTGTTCAAAATGCTTGAATCCCTCACACACCACGCGGTGCACCCTGCTGCAGGGTACTAATCTTCGATACTTATGCGGTAAGGTAGGTATTCCATCTTGAGGGCGTTGTAAACCTCGCGCGCCTCTTCTATATGTGAAAAGCTTTTGGCCAAATCGTCTGTATCAGCCCAAAGAAAGTGCTCTACAACGAGCTAGCAATTGTCTATCCGTGCACATGTGAAGGAAAGCATCTCAGTTGAGATGGAGAGGAGAACGCCGAACAAGATCTTAATAAGGCCAAGTCACCTACCTTACCTAGACGATTGGCGTGCCCAAGCATCTCACCCCCATTATGCAGGTCAATTGTGGCAGTGCTGCTACTTCCAAGCAATATTAACCACTTCGAGTTGCAGACCAAGACCTCATACTCTCAAAGTCCCGTGTCTTTCGACCAAGAGATCCACGACGTTCCAGTCTGTTGGACTACTGAATGAACAGCTTTCTTTTCATACCGCTTATGCATTGAAGAATGACCCACACGGGTACCATAGTCCATGTCACTCGCGTTTTTCGGCACCATCGTATGCGTCGGACACACGTCGTATGTCACTTGATACGCGTATCATTGTTAAGCTGCTGTCCTTTCTACCTAAGATGAAGCACACTGCTCGTAAGCGCATGCTTTTTATGCCTGCCCTTTGTTCTACATCCACCATGATATCCTAACAGGCAGCAAGAAAGTGACCAGACCCTGATGATCCGGTCGTGTTGTTGCTTAACCGCCTAAAACCACAAAAAAAAAAAAAAAAAGTAGGCCTTCCTGGAGAGGCTCCCAACGATGCCTAGCCTCGCAACCCATGGCGGCCGTCCCGGGTCTTCCGGCCAGACCTGCCACATTATCCGAGTACCTAAGCACTTGTCATCTCGGTATAAACCAGTGCCAAATCCACCCGCCGTCTTCAGGCCTCGGGTTCTGCCCTTTTCCGTCCCCGTGCTTCATCCATCTCCCCTTTTTCGCTCTTCGTTGTTCGCAAAGCAATGTGATGAACAGATTGATGGGTATCTTGTTTTTCGAATGTCCAGGTCTTGCTTCCAACCACAACAATGCTTTGGATAATTCTTCGCTTTTCGCACAGCTCGTCACTTGTCAATTCGAGTGGGCTTCATCTATCGGCCTCTCAGTGACCTGGAACCCTTGACGGTGGCCGGGAGACACTGTGTCAGCCGGTCGCGTTCTGTTCGGGAGTTAGCATGAGTCCGAGTCCACTCGGCAATGGGAATAGGAGAACTTACCCGCTTCGTTTTCGAAGAGGAGCGTGATGTCGTCGTGCTCACCCGGCAAGTCCGGTAGGTCCAGACAGATGAATCCCATGTCGTCTGACGGTCCGTCGCTGCCGTTGGGCATGCGCGGCAGGGGGAACTTGGCGTCAACAAACTTGATACCAGCTTTGCTGCTCCTCGAAAACGTCTCGTATACATCCGTGCCTTTCAAAACGAAGTTCATACACTGGCCGTGGTGAAAGTCTGGGAAGAACGCGAGGAGTTGCATGACTGTGCCTTGTTGCACCACTTGGACTCGAGTCAATCCCGCCTCCCATTTCTTGTGGATGGGAACCACCATTCTTCTTCGAGAAATTGCAAAGGTAGCGGCGAGGCCGTCAAAGACGACCTGGAATCCAGTCAATGCAGCCTGGAAGGCATGGAGATCTTTCTGCGTCGGGAAGCTGTAAGTGCGAATCGTTTGAGTCGTCTGCAGCATTTGGAGCATTTCGGTCATGGCCTTGGGGATTTCTTTGCCAACAGTCCCGTCTGCTACATTTGCAGTCATGTCGAACTGTGGCTGGCGCATCACCACGAGAGATTTGGTCTCTTGAACCTCGAGCCTAACTCGCAATTCGCCGGGTTGCAGGTTCACTCGGTCAGTGAGTAAACCCTGCTTGGATTCAACGATGACTCTTAATCTGTCGGCTAGAACTGTCCGAGGATATTCGTCGTCGGCATCTTCATTGATGACTCGAAGGGATGTCCAGGGGATTTGGCTAACGCCTGGAAGATACTTGCTATCCTGTAAAGACGTCGACATGGAGAATCCGATAAGGGGCACATCTGCGTAGATCGTCTCATCCTTTTGCACAGAAGTGCCGGAAATGAGGCTGTTGAGCTGGGCCCGCTCCCCCTCATCAGCGAACGAGAGCACCATGCTCACCTTTATGCGCTTGTTCGGATCCGGATTGACATTGTCGTACTTGAGCATCAAGGCAGCATCACCTCCATCCGACCTAAGGAAACTGAAGGGGATTGGCATCTGTGGCGTGTAGGTGTGGTTGACACCACTGAGCGTTCTTGTGCGAGGGCCTGTCACCACGACGATTCTGTACCCCCTATGGTAAGCGCGTGGGCCTGCAGCAGCATGCTCCTTATGAATTTTCTCAAACAGAGCCACATCGCAATTTGCCACGGCTTCCTTGGGAAACGCCCGAGAATTGGGATTTGAGTCGAAGTACTGAAATGACCGAAGGGTAGACCGGAAAACGCAGTGCTCGTCGGACCGAGCATAAAGGGTTGACTGAACCTGAGCACCGAAATCGTACATATTCCACAGCATTCGGTAGTCCTGCTGTGAGCACTGAACGACAATCATGAAGCCTCTGGGCAGTTTGATCTCGAGTGAGTGGGTTGAATTGCGCCATCGGACATCGTCCCAGGTGGGGCCTGAGTTCTTGTTTCCTTGGATTCGTAGGTTGACTTCGCCGTGTTGACTAGCGATAACAAAGACCAGATTGTGCTGTTTGTTAGGGCGAACCATGGTCAAAAGACAAGGGAAATAGAATCTCTGAGAGTCCATGCCTTGTTCCATCAAGAACACATCCGTGCTCACTCTGCCGAATGTGAAGTTCTCGGCTGTATCATTAGGTGGCAGAGTCTCAAGAATTTCGAAAGCGGAGGGGGTGCGAACAACACCCGTCATGGCTGCAGATGAATCGGCAGTGAGCAACGCAATCATGTCGACGCTCAGTCGAGGGTATTCTACCCAGATAGACTTGTCGATGGTCTGAGGCAAGAACGCCTCCTCAGGCGGAAGGAATCCATTCCTCTTCATTGAGACAGCAAGCTTCTTGAGAGCGCCGACCAACGTTGAGCGAATCTCAGTAATGCCTGCGTCGGGTGCAAGGCGCTTGTTCTCCTGCACCTCAGGTATGGCTTCCTCCACCAACCAGTAGCCTTTGGCAAGGTTGGCATATGCCTGCTGGCGATCATTCTCGTTCTGCATCTGGTCTTGAGGACTACCAGGTCGTGCACGAACTGCAACCTCTAAAGCAGTGCGTCCTTTAATGAGCCACCACAGGGCAGCACGTGCTAGCTCAAGCGGTGAACAGGCCGAAATGGGCTTGATTGTCTCGGCATGCAGTCTAAATAGCTCGTTAAAGTGGCGAGTGCGGGTGACGAATGTGTTGAGAGCGTCATCACCAACCGCAAGGACTGCATCATGCAAGTTGAAAGATGCTTGTCTCGAGGCAACTGTTGCAGACGGGGGCGCCATATGATACTGAGAATTGACAGAAGGCTGCCGAGAAAAGTTGGCAGCTGTGTTCTGCTGTTGGCTGAATTCGGTGCTGCTGGAATATATGGATGAGGGGCTCTGGTCGGGAGGCTTTCTGTAGTCATCTGGGGATCTTGGCTGAAGGGGCACCTTGCTAGGTGGCACTGGAGATCTAGTTGGAGACTCGTTTATCTGTGGTACGAGAGGCGTTTGGCCTCCATGCTCCTCTCGCTCAGCTTGGCGTGCGGCTTCTGCAAATGCCTTACCCTCTGCTTGTCGCATCTCCGCCTGTTGGTGCTCGATGAAGGACTTCCGATTCTCGTTCTTCGCGATAGTCGGGGTGTCTAAGAAGGGCGCCGAAACTGTGTTACCCGGTGCCACCTCTCTATAAGCCGGAGGGGGTTCTTTGGGCTCGATGGGCTCGTTGCTGACAGAGGAGAAGCCTGTCTGTGTTCGTCGCAGGCGGCCAGGCATAAAGTCTGAGTCCTCTTTCGGTGCTGAGGGCGCTCTCGGCGGGGAGTCGTGAACAGCAGCCACGGGTGTACGGCGTGGAGACGGCGGAGGTCGCTGCTTCTTGCGCCTCGATACCTCAATGGCTGGGATCTCCGACTCATCACCACCTTCGCCAATGATGTCGGGTTGCTGGTCCACAAATCGAACGGTCAAGCCCTTTCGGTTGCTACGCCGCGGGCTCCGAGGTGGGATGCCCGGGCTTAGGCCAGGACTGCGAGCGGAGTACTGGTTCGGGGGGTTCAAGCTCTGCTGTGAGTGACTAGCGACAGACAAAGCTTGAGGATAGCGAGTAGCTGAAGATATGTCGAGCTTCGAAAGCTGGGGGGTGACGGTGGAGGGCGAGGCATGGTTGACCTGCAGGGTATCAGAGGGGCCGTTAAGGAAATCATTGATGTTGTTGCCCGTCTCTTCGGCCGTGGGCTTGCGATCTTTCTCTTTGAGGGCAAAGAGCTTCCCCATCAGACGACCCCGCCTCGAGGTCGCGGAAGGCGGTTCGTTCTCCATTGTTGAAGACCGTGATCGACGCGCGGTAATATCGAAACCATAGGAGTAGGTGGGATCCTATGCGAAAAAGGCGGCGTCAGCAAAGGCAGGCAAGGTAGGAGGCGTGAGCTGCCTCCCCGGTGGGATGTAGTTGGAGGAGGAGGGAGGTATGGGTATCAGCAGCCAGACCAGAAGTTGAAATACCTCGAAGAATTACAGAGCAGACCTCAGTTGAAGCTGCTAAAAAAAAGCCCGCAATCACTCGCAAGCGGAAAGTGCGATTCTTGTGTCTTTGAAAGTTGGCAAGTTGATTCGAAAGAAGGACGCGGCACCCGTGATAATGGTGCGAAGTGGCCTGCCCAAGGTTTGGCGTTAGGTAGGTGGTCGTCTGTCAGCCAGGCGTGAGCAAAGCAATGTAGTTGCAGCGATAGCAGTGACAATTCAAGGTTGGAGAAGGTCTGTGTTTGGCAAAATGAGCCCAGACGAATCGGGATTCTTTGCCTCGCAGTAGGTAAGTCGGTGGTGCTTGCTGCTGGCGTCACTGCAAATGCGACCGTGACTGTGAAAGAAAGGCGGTCGGTGGCTTCAGCCCAAATGGGGTGAGATTTCGACGTTGGGTTATTCAAGAGAAGCAAGGGGTTTCAGTTTCGGAGAGATCGCAGGTAGGTACGCAGTGGTATTGTATTGGAAGGTGCGGTGCGGAGCGACAAGGTAAGGCTAGGTAAGGTAAGGTATCCGTAGGCAGGCACGCAGGTAACCTGCAGAGTAGTGCAGTCGACGCGCGGGTTTGCGGATGCGGTGCGGTGCGGAGCTTGACGACGACATAAGGTAAGGTAGGTACGGATACTGGACCTGGGTCTTGCCTTCCTCACTAATAATTACCTACCATGCGGATACCTGGCGAAGAACGGCCACATGCACCACGTTGAGGAAAGAAGTTCCAGCGCCCTCGAGCACGGAAGTTGCAAGAGATGCAACAAAAGACATGGGGGGAGTTGAATGTGGGTAGGCGCCCGTGAGGTGCGGATACGTGAAGTGGTGAGGTGAGATTTCTAGGTTGTCTTGGACCGACTCCTCGCTAATACCTCGAGGTACCTTAGCAAGGTGCGTACAACGCGTCTGTCTCCAAGTTTCTTGCCTAGGAACTTAACGCTACTTCCCCCCTCATGCGTGGACCCTTGAAGACTCCAGTCCGCCCTTTAAGTGGCCAGGGGCCGTCGTTGACACTACAACAAACTCAACCCCCCTTTACGATCCCCGCCCGACCAGGCCGGGTCGAGGTGGTCAAACGTCACAAGCGAGACAGAACAGGTACCTTCTTCTGTACCGGACAGCGGAAGGGCATTCAGGTACAGCAGGGCGGGCACACCAGATGGTTCAAGTACGTACCCGACTGTCAGGTCAGGTTGCCCCAGTATCAGCACCAATCTCGAGTGGACGGCAACCGCGTCGTTTGCAAATCCCCAAGAGGGTTCGAATGGTATCTGTTCTTTCTCCACTGATTCTGATTGTGGTACTGATTCTCTCCCAATTACAGGAACTTTGGCTTACGGCTCATTTTACCTGCATGAGGGAGGGAAGGAAAAACAATGGCAGCAAGGCGATTTTCGAGGTGTTCAGACATGGGTCTTATCAACTTGATTGACGGACACTTTGGACGGGAAGGCTGCCCTACCCGTTCGGCAACGCAAACGAGACATGAGTGAACAGGTGTCTGTCAACCTCAGTGCACCTCACGCCATCTCCATCGTGGGACACCATATCCGTACATGGCCATTGTCACGCCGCACGTCGCAGCATGACAACAGAGGCACGTCGCAGCACGAGCACGTCCTTTCCTCCATGGCGAAGCTTGACTCCCTCGCTGGGCTGTAGGGCGGCCATTCCGGGTCGAGTGTCCGGGGAGTATTGGAATCCCAAGCCCCAAGAGCACGGAAACTCTCTAGGGACCTCGTCCCTACCGTTCCTGGGTACGGGTGCCCTACGCAGTAGGTATACCACACTAATACTTAGGCGCCGGCCGAAGACAAAATTCCACACTATTTTTGGGGTCCCATTCTCCAGCTCCGAGGTCCAGGGTGCACCAGGTGGGAGGGGGACCCGTTGTGCCGTTGCAATTGGGGGCTCCCGCTGGGCGACTGAGTCGGGTCTTGGGGCCCTGGGGGAGCATTGGAGGGGGCTTCTTGGTCTCACTTTCGGGGTCCTCTTTGCTGGGCGAGAATGGGACTGCTGAGTGGTGAGAATGGTGTAGGGCGGAGACCAGAGAGTGCAGGCATTGCCGTCATTGGGTCGTGTTTTAAAATAAGAGGGAGGTCTGGGGGGGTCTGGAGAGGGGCTCTTCGGCCTTGTGCGGTTCACGACACGAACTTGTCGTACTCGCCCGTTAACCGTTCTACCTATAGCGAACAGAGTGAATTGTCCGCTTACTATCCGTAGGTAAGTATTTCTTTCAAGGTTGAGTGGGCTCGTAAACTCTCCTTCGTGTTCATAGTCTGCATACGGCCTGTTTCCATGAAGTAATCACCTTCGTATCCATTTTGGTTCCTGACCACCACCTCGCTCCAGCCCAACACGGGTTGGTCCGCTGGCATCAGTTCCTCAACTTCTGCAATACTGGGTACGTAATAGAAGTCACTTTGCAAGGTCGGGTGCCGGTCGTGTGTTGAATCGTGGTTGCGCCTAGTAAATCGCACGTGTAGGTCACAGATCGTATGCAATGCAATACGCAGTCTCATGTACCCCTTGATTTCACGGATGTGCATACACATCGGACAGTCCAAGGTTCAGAGTTCAGACGCTACTTACATGATGATGTGCAGCCCTTGAGTTTCAGACATGGGACGAATCTATCAAACTGTCCGAACCTTAGCCTACTTGAGCAGCAGCCTCCTTGGCGAGCCGCAACTTGGCCATCCCATCTCACAAGCTAATTACCTTACACTGCGACCTACCCAAGCATGTGGCCGCTTAAGGAACGAGTAGCCGCATTCTCAAAGTCATGATTGCTATCATGATTGCCGTACGCTTTCTAAATGCGTACATATTCTGAGAAAGACATAAGAAATGGACAGTGGTCGTAGCAGCAGCAGCAGCAGCAGCAGCAGTACCTTAGTAATAGGAATAGTAGAAACAGAGCTAAGGAAGGTATTAGCCTTGTCTTGCAGATTCTCAGTGAGAACTTGAGAAAGGCACTCTCAGAGGGGCCACATGTCGCGTGAGCAACACCCGAACTGTCCAGCCGGAGCTGTTCCCTGCGACCAGCCAAAAGCAAAGCTTCCCGCAACAAAAAACAAGCAAACACCATATGCAAGATCCCGTCCAAGCCAAGAGATGTGGGTAATAATTCCCTTCAATCAAAAAGTTAACTGCCTTGCCCTTTTGCATACGGCACGTGGCATTGGCGTCGCTTGCCTTCATTCTCTACACAATCCAGTCCGAGGCAGCAGAAGTTCTCTTCTCCTCCTTCATGAGACTTCTCTTCGAGACAAATTGCTGAAGAGCGAGCGACTTGGTCGATGAAAGGCATCACGCTAAAGCATTTCGGAAACCTCGCAAGTCATGCAAGCTGCCTATTGAGCCGCTAAGACGGCGCGGAGCCGGCACTTCTTCACCTTAGCAAAGATACCTACGAGTCATTTTTGCTTCTCTTTTTACGGACACGACGCAGACAATTACCATCAACTCCACAACACAAAGTATGTCGAAAATCAAATCGCTTTCATCATTTCATTTCCTAGCTGTCACTCGCACCGCAATTAAACCCAACTCAGGGATGGCCACCCGACCGTATCTGTATGCCTCCATACGGGCACATTGTTCAAACTCGCCCTGATCCAACAAATTAGATGCTAAGCGCCGCCACACCGTTATCAATAGGTTCACGCATGGACCATTTGCCGGAGTCTCTTCTCAATCTTCTGACGTCCATCCAACGTCTCCCATACGTTGTGAGGGGCGTCGTCGACCGTATCCCAATGCTTCAGGTTTCTCGTCAGATGGCTGAAGTCTCTCTGCTTGTCCTCCCATTCGCTATCCTTGCGAATATTGGCGCCAGAGCTGATGACCACCAGAGGGGTATTCGGGTACTGGATGGCCTTACTGCTAATCACCTCGCGCTTGGTGAGCGAATCGGCGACGAGACTCTCCTGCAACTTTGAGAACAGGTACTTTCCACTCTGTCTAGCCGAACGACCCCAGACGCGGTCTGCACTTGTGCGTCCGCGGAAGATGGCACCTGGGAGACGTTCGATTCCAAGAGGCGAGAATACGCCGCGAAGCCAGTAGGAAAAGCCTCTGCCGGGGTCCGAGACCCGGTGAAGGAGATCTTCGTGAAGAGGATCAATCAGAAGAAGGCCGTTCACTTCCCTGCCGTGTCGAGAGGAGAAGATTTGAGAGTAAACGGAACCAATTCCAGCGCTGGCCAAGATCCAAGGACCCTTCTCTCCAGCTCGTGCGAGAGCCTCGCTGAGGGCGTCAGTTGCCATGCCTGCTGACAGAGGGCTGGGGGCGGTATCGCTCCATCCGTAGCCGGGACGGTCAGCGAAGCAGTATCTCGAGATGGAGTCGTTCTTCAATGCGTTTTGCGCAAACTGCCATAGTCCATTCTCAACTGGCAAATCACCTCCCTCGAAGAAAACGGTGGGTAGCTTGTTGCCCGCGGCATCGGTGCCGTTGCCATCGCAGTAAACGTGGATCCGGTATTGGTCGCCGTCGACCCAATATTGCTCGCCCGGCGGGCCGAAACCGGCATCGAGGGATCGCAGAATCAAAGTGGCAGTGATGAGGATGATGATCAGAGACAGGACGATGTATGCCACCGTTGAGATGAGCACCTCGGTCCATTCCCAGACTGTGCGCCTCGTCTCAACACGGCCAGTAAGCCTCTCCTCCTCCTCAGCCTTGCCCCATTTCACAGTTCGGTCACAGGCAAGCGCCCACAAGCTCACGACGAATGCCCCTGAGGGTGGACTTGTCAGCAAAGGACCAGTCTCATCAGATGCCAAACTCTCAACTTACAGACAACGCTCGCAACTCCCACCCCAGCCTCTTCGTAGCGATTCTTCTGCACCGCAACGATGAGAATCATGTTGACGAGTAGCATGATAGCCATGAAGATGGCCAGAACCCGGACAGCCTTGGACGGAGCCGCAAAGAACACGAGGGTGAACAAGAGCGTGAACAATGCCACACTCGAATAGCTGAAGGCGTAAAAACCGGAGCCACGGGTATGCATGCCAGGCGGCGTGACGAAGGAGGAAACCAAAGTCAAAGTCCACCACGTGAAGGTGAGGGCCGTGAAGAGAACAGTCACCCATCGCAGCAATCGCACCGTCCACAAGTTGTACGGAGACACTGCCGGGTCATCGGGCGTCAAATACTGGCGGTTGTCGCTGTCGAGCCGGTTTGGTAGGAGCCGAGTGTGTTCGTCGGGTTCCCGTGCCGCGTACTCGTTCGATCCTCTCTCTTCCGGAGGACCAGGTCCATCGCGGACCTCCTGGTCGTCGTCCTTCTTATTCCTCGAACCCCAGAGCGAAGACATGGCGGATGTTCTGTGTCGTAGCTATCGTCAAAGGCCTGGACTACGGGGAGTATTCACAACAAGTGCCACAATTGATGTGCGGCAGGGTATCTTTCGTAAATGCAACCTTGACCGAAAAGTACAGAAAACCGATGCAAAAAAGGAAGAATACGAGAGAGAGAAAGAGGGAGAAGGCTGGGAACTGGGGGACACATGTCCAAGTAAATGGCAGTAGTCTGAAGCAGCTAAGACGAACGACCATGGACTAGGCACTAATACCTACTTACATCCCGCTCACAGACGTCTCAATGACGGCAGGGGGCGGAACAGACTCAGAGAGAGGGCCTAGAGCTTCATCGAATCGATGCTGCAACCACCAACTCACCAGAGGGGAGAGGCCAGAGCTTCCTGGTCATGTACGTCATCCTCTGCAATTGGGGGAACGCGACACACAGCGCTGTCACCGAATGCGGAAAGGTGGGGGAAACAACCACGGCGCTGGCGCCGTGAGGATCGCCGATTGGAAGGCCCCATTTTCCAGTTCAGTCGGGGGACTGGTTACTGGTTGCTGCTTCAGCACACTGCACGTCCCACCTCAGTCGACGGCCCTCCGAAATCTCCACACCCGACTCGGAGCTAAGCTCCGGCCTAGCGTGGGGGATTGACGAAGTGGTAGGTAATGCGGGAGCGAGTTGGCGAGAAGCAAACGCTCAAGCTCGCGCCTCACTCTCGGCAGCATGGAAAAAAGCAGGGAAGTCAAGTTTGACGGTGGTGACCTAGCCAGCTGCTCTTTGCTATGCTGCAAATGCATCTGCATCTGCGGGTGCCAACGTCAGTTTTCAGCTCCATACCTAAGCAAACACGAGCATCAAGTGGTGTCTTGGTATTCGGGTTGAACCAACCAACCGCATGAGATCGAGCTGTCACTCAAGTAATCTTGACGGGTAGACCTCCTTCACACCATTGGTGAATCCCATCATGACTAAATCTCTCAACCCCTCCCGCCTGAGTACACGAGACAGCCTCAACAGTGCCAGGGTGCTCTTGGTGACTTTCGGCAAGCTTGGGGGATTGTTTCGCGACTGGGAACTAACATTGCGACAGTAGTGACTGCTCCAATCTCCATGGCCCCCGACTGCACCAGATCCCCAGCTTGAAGCTGCCTCGTTTTGATCATTAATGCATCTACCTACGTAAGGTACCTAACAACGAATACGAGTGCCACATGATAAGACTACCAGCAAATCAATGTCAACTATACGTGTACCTCCAACGTCGTCTGGGTCCGTCAACAGCTGTCAATCACTGGGAACATCATGTTGGCATGTGAATTTGGCACTCAATAACATGAAAGTAGTGGGAAATCTTCCGTTTTCATCAAACTATGTTACTCTTAAAGACAGTCGTTTCAGGCTCTCTGTCCTGTGGCGCACGAACGGCCACCAAGTTTGAAAATTCCAACGCAGCTTCTGCGATAGGCTTGTTGCCGTAGCGTCTAGAAGCGGGTATAATGCAAAAGCGATTCAAGCAAATTGTCATCATCTTCCAGTCGTTGTCTCGTCCATCAATTCATACACTCCTTCCTCTGCCTTGTCACAAATAAAGGCATGCCCCCCTGCCCCCCCCCCCCATTTCCGGCCGGTTGGTGTCGCGCCTACGCCCACGGGGCAATGGGGTTGACCTCCCTGCTACCCGCCGAAGACTCAGAAGAAACAGAGCCTGAGATTCTCTCACAGCCGCCATAGGCTTGACGAACTTGCTTTCGATTGGCAAACTTCTTCTTGGCGATCGTCTCGGGATCAGGCCCACTGGAAGGCCTGATGGCCTCTTCAGGAATCGCTCCAATGGGAGCGTGCAGCTTTGCGCTGGCCTCTGGGTCATTCATCGCGATCCCATGTTTGTGGTACTCTTGTTTCTTGAGCTGTTTCCAGTCTTGAGAGGACGGCTCGCCAGTACTGAACCAGTCTTTGAGCTGACTGACCCAATGGTTCTTGCTGTCTTTGGGTTTGGTCTTTTCACTTCGTCTCTTCTTCGTAGGGCTTCTACTGACACTAGCTGTAGAAGCGCTGTACTCGGATGTCTGAGAATGGTCGGAGAACATGCGTTTCGGAGGGGACATTCTCAAGTCCATCTCCGAGATTCTGCGTCTGAGGCCCATCTCGTCGTCTGAGAGGTCGAGCAATGTTCCTGGATGATTATCTTCTTCGTCTATCGCTAGCCCGATCTTGTGAGGGGCAGTTCGCGTGTCGACTGTTGCTATTCCTGAGCTAGATGCCGGGCGAGGTGGGCTCGGCGGGCGTAGGTGGGTGAATGCAAGATCAACCGACTTGGCGAACTTGTGACCGAGAACAAAAGCGCGCTTCTGAGACGCCTTCTTAGGTGGGCTTCCGAAGACAGCCCGAGCTGATGGATGGGTAAATTGAGATCCAGTGAGAGAACGTCGACCAGGATTCTGTGGCGAACTTCTTTCGACTCTCGGCAGTCCTTCGGATTCGGTGGTCTTCTTGGTCCTCTGTGGTGTTGAGATTCCGAGGAGACTTCGCCGTTTCTTCTTCTTCTCTGGAACCGGCCCCTAGCCGTAGACAAACGCCTCTGGTCCAGTATCGGAAATGTAAGACTGCGAATCTGTCGAGGCTCCTTCTTCTTCTTTCCGAATGGATCTGTACGATGAAGCCCAGTAGAACGGGGGCTCGATGCCGCTACTGAGTGTGGATGTTTGTGCTTCTCCAAAGCTGGTAGGAGGTAGGTGAATACCCGCCTGTGCGGATGAAAAGATGGGAGGTGCCAACGGTGGTTGTAAGGCCGCGGTTGGGTATGAGAAATTTCGAATGGGAGGTAAAGGTGATGGTGAGTCAAGGGGTGAAAACAGATCTTCTTGGATAGGGAGAGGCGGGTTCTTCTTCTTGTTTCGATGGCGATGGAAGAGCCGCATTGTTCGGCGAGAGAATAGACTAGTAAGACTTCTATTCAAGCATTCGAAACGCACACCCGAATTTCCCGAGATTTGCAGAAGATGTCTGACAGTAAATATGTGCGGAGAAAAGGAACGGTAAAGTTTGATAACAAGTACTCGAGGCGAAGGAGTTGGATGTTTTGGAACCGAGATTTGAGAGGTTGTAAGTTCAGTGAAGTCGAAGTAGTGCCAGAAAGAGGAACTGGCGGACGAGGAGTAGAAGTAGAGAAGATCAGCAGAGAGAGAAAGAAGGACCTCGTGGCAGTAACGTGCAATTTGACGCCGGCCCAAAAGAAGCGGAATGGAAACAAAAGCATGGGACGGAAAGGTCTCAGAAGCCATGCATGCTCGCTGCTCGCTGGCTCGCTCTCGTGCTCTTGCCCCGCTCGTGTTGATTACATCCCACGCCTTCCCATGCTTTCCTTCAGGAAAGAGCAAGCGGATTGGCTTGGCCTGCACCTTCCATGTTTTCTTTTGGTGGATGCCATGCCTTGTCCCGCATGCCACCCCGGTGTTCAGCACCTCGTGCCATTAGCTCCTGCCATGTTGAGGGCAGAAAGAGCGAGGCATCACGAACACCATCTACCCGACCCTGTCGATATGCCAGTCCTGCAGTACGACTGGACGCCACATGTCGCTAACAATACGCTAACGCCAACGTTGGCAAAGACTGTGCGGTAAACCGTAAGAAACGACGGTTAGTTTTCATTGTTAGGGCACCCTCACCAGATGAGTGACGTCTTCCCTGGCCGCTCTACTACTGCGGCATCGTTGGACCATGGACAGAGCCCTTGCCTGAAGTTGTCGGAGGGCTGGGACGATGCAAGGACTGGGAGTTCCACCGTCGGACTCCTCGGTCGACCGTCGACCTAGTCATCCCTTGGTTAGGCGTATCGTAGTGTCTCAGAAACCAAAACGCAAGACTGGCTCAGCAAAACCCAGTGCTAGCCCTTTGACGGCGTGTCGTTTCGTCCTTTGTTGACCATCTTAGATAGAAAATGTGGTGCTGTCAGCTCGAAAGCACGGCTAACCCAGCGGTCTGGTATAGGATCAAGATGCATCTCACACACTTTAGGCTTCCCGTACTGAGGCGCAGCATCCTTTGTCTACTGGCCAGCAGGTTGAGTGAGGGGCCCGGTTGTGCGGCAGTTGGCTGTTTGGGAGGAGGAAGAGTGCCCTGACGATCGCCAGCAAGAAATGAAACAAACTCTTCGCCGATGGGGTTCAATATTGCAGAACGACCGAGGTCAAGCTATCTGGGTATGGGCGGGTAGTCTGCGACAAGTTTTCCTTATTTGGAGTTGTGATGCTGGGTCATATCGAGAATTCGATAGCGCAAGGGCTGTAAAATGGAAAAAGCAAGTTTTCTTGCTGCAGCCACAATCTGATCTATCACAGATCCAACTTGCAGTCCGCGGATCCCGTTCCTCGTTCCGGTGCACCAGGTGTGCCCTCTCCTCCTGCGTAGAAGGCCATACCTTCTTGAGGCCGTCGGGCTTCTCACGAATCCAGGCAAGTTTGGAAACTGTCCATGGAGTACGGACGTAAAGCAGAACAACGTTGGGCGGATTCTGGGGAGCTCTGGCTGGATAGCTGAACTGCTAGGCCAGAATCGCATCAGTGCTTTCTCGACGTCATTTCTGGATGTGCTAGATGATCGAGATTGAAGAATATGCTCTTTTCTTGGACTCAAACCCAATGCCCATGGTGTTTCTCTCCGGAAAGAGATTCATCGTCGATTCCTACATCGGCAACTCCCCTCACAATAGCGGCTGAACAGATATCTCGGGATGACAACCAATCAGTTTACCCTGGCGAAAATGAATGGAGCACTTGGCACGTGCACGCTTTCATCGAGACGTAGTAGACCGTGCACCGCCTGCCTCGGCGACGTGATTCAGATCTTGACAATCTTCTGCAGGCACCCTGCTCCAATCGAGCTAGCCAGTGGCGAACCTGCATTTGAACGTCAACCCTGGGGCACTGTTTCCATTTCCCTGTCTTGCATCCAACCTTTGACTTTGGAATCCGTTGAATGAATCGGGCGGGCCACAGAAGTAGGACAACACCTCCAGCAACATCAACAACACCCGCAAAGTCAACAAACAAAAACCGCCGCTTGGCGCGTGCACTTTGAGTTCACCCGACCTCTACGTCCGTTGGCTTACGCAGCCCGCCCCTGCGTCCCCATCATCGAAACTATCACAACGCATTTCTTCTCTAGAAGCTTCTCAGAGGCACACAGGCACCAGCTTGAGAACCTGATTTAAGCTGAAAGCAGCCTTCCCTGCACGGCGCTAGTATCCGAAGCTGACAAAGTTCCCGAGCCATCTGCACGCGCGGCGCGCCAAACGCACGGTGCACATTCAGCTCCGATTGCACTCCCGTTCCCCCTCCTTCTCAACCCCACCACGAGACGAGAGACATTCCAACTTTCAACCTTTGATTCTCCCGCTCACACATCAAAAAGCCGACCACAGACAAACAAAAAAAAGAAAGGACCGCTGCTTCCGAGAGCGAGCCGCAAGCCTTCCCCCAACCATGCCCGGCCTCACGATACAAACAGACGCGATCTCGCCGCGCACATCGAATGCGCCGGCGCCAGCGCCATCTACGTCTGCGGCTGCTGCTCCGACTGCTGCCACAATCTCTTCGGCAGGCGGAACAAACCCACCACACGCGCAGCAGACCCCTCCGCGATCCTCTCGCTCCTCATCCCCCGCCCGGCCCCCCATCAGCCCCATAACCCCGACCCTACCCCCGGCCCGTCTGCCGGACCCTCCCGCCCCTTTCGCTGCCGACCGTCCAGTCCTCACCCACTCTTCCCAGCTGTCCGCCGCTTCCGCCATCCCCCCTCCGCGTCCCGAACCCGTCGACTTCGATTCTAATCCCGATGTCCTCGCTCTCAAGTCAGCCATCTCCATCCTTCAGATGCAATCAAAAAAGGCTACCGCCGATATCCAAGGGCTCAACGCCGCAAAGAACGCCGCTGTAGAAAACCCATCGGCTTTTCTCGCCGACCTCGGCGCAGGCAAAGTGCACACGCAAGGCGACAAGCTGTTTGCCGAGTCTGACTCGGATTCGGACGACGAGACGGAGGGCAGAGCAGATGGGAGTACCGCGCAAGGCAAGGCAAAGGAACCACAACAGCCGTGGGAGTCACTTCCCAAACCCCAGAACGTGGTGCGCTGTCCACCCATCAACTGGTCACAATATGCCGTCGTCGGTGAGTCTCTCGACAAGATTCACGCGGACCAGCTGGCCAGACCAAGCCAAGGCGCTCCGGCAACGTTAGGGCCCAGCGGGACATACGAGTTCAAGGGAGAGCCCGGAGGTAACCAGAGACCTTTCATCGGCGTCGCCGCCCCTTACACACCTGGGAAGGACAGGATCGAGAAGAAGGCAAAGGGAAGCAAGCGATGAGACATCACGTTTCTTCCGTCTAAAAGATTTGAGAAAAGCCGTTTGAGGCAAGGTTGCTGGAACAAACATCCCGGGAATGGATGTATGATTGACGCTTTTGTACTGAGGTCATGAGATTACGAGGCGTTAAGCATGAATAGGGTGCATGGAAACGAAGGCGTTTTGATGTATAGGCTAGGACCATATTTCCATTTCGATTTTGAAGAAGAAGAAGGAAAAACAACGATATCAACTTTCGAACGTAGCTACTTTCGTCGCGTCATTATCCGAGGTATCTACTGGAGTCTAGCGGGACAATCCCAAGCCCGTTCCTGAATATGCATGATTCCGATGCCGTTAACGCCGTCCAGCCCTTTGAAGCATCTTGAACTTGGACACGCCAAGACCAATTTTCACTACCATCACCATTATGACCGGGGAAACCCATGACCGGAAAATTGTCGACCTTTTTTAACGCGTTAGTCGCGTGCTGAACACCCGCGTACCCATGTTGATGTACCTTAGCCTGAAGGTGGTCTTGAGAAGCAATATCAAAAGTCACTGAAAAGTTTAGCTCAGGAACACAGGACAAGATTCCGAAAGCGACTTACTCCATGCTCTGCTGCACAGATCTACGAAGCCGCCTATTGTAGTTCTTCCGTGCCTCGGCGCCTCCCCAGTAGAGGGTGTGCGCTTCAGGGTGTACCAAAGTTCGAGGGTCGTAAGCCGGGTCTTCTTCCTCCAGTGCCGTAAACACAGCCTCGATGTGAGTTCGGACGTCCTCCTTCCTAAGTGAGTTTGGGAAATAGCAGACTGTACCGTCTTCTGCAATGCGATGGTGGAAAATGCGTGTGTGAAACTTGACTCGAGGTTGCTCCTCGGGGAACTTGGTACTGAAGTGGATTTTGAAGCGGAATAGGCCACCGTCGAGATTCGTCATTGGACGTCCAAAATAGGTGACGACCCAAACGAAAGGATTGTTGTCCTCCAACTGGACATCGTGAGGAATGTCTTGACGCTTGAACGCCTGCACCACTTGTTCATACTGGTGGCGCAAGTTCACAGAAAGTGTCATTTCCTTTTCGATCGCAACCTCGCCATCCTTCGCCCACTTGACGAGCTCATTGTCAAGCGCAGCCTTGACATTCCGCAGGCGTCTTTCCAATTCCGTGTAGTTGAACTTGCCGTCCATGGTGTTACTAGCACCCTCAAACGGCATGCGAACAAACGCTTGGTGGTCCTTGACCTCGGCCTTGGCCTTTTGCACAGCAAGGAGGTAATTGTCGTAGTACCAGAGGAACCGCCGCTTACATAAATCCTTGAAAGGTTCGAAAGGAACGTTCGTATCGTCGATATCATCGTTGTCGATATCAAGTTGGTCCCCGTCTGCCGCAGACTGTTGGGCAATGGCATTGCCGTCGGGTGTGAGACCAAGGTATTCCTCCATACGCTGGATAACGGAGACTCGAAGTGTTTCGTGACGTATCTAGGGCAAGCATGAGCCCCATTATCTCTCATCATCCCAACACACAAGCGTGTCAACTCACCTTCTGGACGTAGTCCTTCTGGTTCTTCTTATCCGATGCTTCGTTGGCCTCCTCGAATCCAGGCTCGTTCTCGTAAGGGTTTCCGGACATTAAGCTCTGGATTGAAATGAGTATAGATTCGAGTCCTTGTGCTGCAGACCATTCCTCCCCACGTTCTCCACGCCATGTGCTAGGTCCTGTTAGTCAAAAGTCCCTTGGCAAATCCTATGCGCCTGGCTATACCCGAGGATGGACCTGCAGAACGTTAGTTCTCTTTGCTCCTAGAGGGCTCCGTTGCGGGAAGCAAACCCACAAGCAAACCTTGCCGGACGAGTAGATGTTGGGGTTGAATCGGCATCGACCTCCGTTCGTTGTAATACCGTTGACGTTGGGCGACTTCCTAGGGTAATCTACTTTTGCGTCAGTCCAACCCACCCATCATTGCCACATTACGGCAGAAATATACCCTTATTGAATCTGATCGCAAACTACTTTCCCGTTAGTACTGCGAGCAAGCCGGGGACTCTCATAGCAAATTGGTACCTCAAAGAACCCAAACTCGTACGGAGTGTCGTGAGGTCCGATGATCAAGGCCTTAACATTGCGAACATCGACATCGCGACAAGCGACAGCTATGGCTGGCAAGGAAATCAGCATATGAACTCGACCGTGTTCGCGGGAAGGCTCGTACAGAGATCCGAGGTTCGCTGGATGTCGCCGAGTTCCTGTTGTGCGATCAAAC